GGGGGGGGGTGGACGTACGTAGTTGAAGGTGTTGGGGTCGGTGGAGGGCTCACTTTGGTAGAAGTAGCCTGTTACGGTGTAGAATCGCCAATGCGATTCAGTGGGGGTGGAGGGGGTCATTGGGGTGAAGATAGGGAGAGGGTTGGGTATGGTTTTTGGATGGAGGGAGTGAGATGAGAACTGGAGATGGAATGAATGGATGGATTGATGGATGGATCCATTCAGTTTGGGGCCCGCAGGAACGCGGATAATGGAGGGCTGTTGATTGGTTGGTGGGATTGTATAGCAGTGGGGACGGTGGACTCGGGATTCGCAGTATGAGATGTCCTTGAGTACAGGGCTACTCCGGATTACCGGTTATTTGGGGGGTCCTGTTCAAAGTTCAGTCAGTATGTGGTCAACTCTACTTGTCAGTTGCCTGAATATGAGATCAATAGAAGTTGAACACCAGAATGAATGTTTGAAATGAATGTATGAAATATATGAAGACCATTCCTAACTGTTCACCTCATGCTCTAGCATGGACGATGGTATCAAGCAAAGACAGAACTAACACCGCTAAATAACTGGTAAATATACATATAAAACAGAGAAAACACGCTTATGCAAGTTTTAAATCACAATCAACCCCATCGAAATCCCTTCCCCGCGAGCCAATGCCGTCTGGTCGAGATCATGACGAGCTTGCCAAAGCTGGAAAAGCTCCAGGCTTTGTCAACGCACGTACTCAACCAAGAAGCGAAGCATACAGATAAATCCAAGAAGTGAGAGACCGGAAAGACGCTTTGAAGTACCCTTGACACAATTGTCCGCGACGCAAATTGGTCGTGGACATCGTTGGCTTGTACGGCCAACGAGTGGGGTGTCGATGGATATACCAAAGATCTGATGCGCCAGGAACTGGCGTGTCTCTCGAATATGGCACTGGTCTCAGTGCCGCGGTTGGATTGCACGCTTGCTGTGGCAGAAGCCCCTCCTGGGGCGCTGGGCCTGCAAAGTACGCCGCTGATGGCGGCTGTACCGGATCGGGATGGAATTGATGCCTGGACTGACACATGCATGCGGGCTTTCACAGCCTGGCTTGCCTGTTGTCTGTCCGGAGCATGGCGTAGAGCCAGTGCTCCCCGATCTGCCTGACTTGATGTCGAACAGATCTGCAGTCTCTTCGACAGTGAATGGACGAGGCCGACCTTGCGGTCGGAACCAGGTGACCTTGGTGATTGCTGTTGTCCCGAGCTGCCCTGGAACGTTGTCGGACGACCTGTACCGCCATTGACGTCTACGTCGCCACGACAGCTTGCAGCTGACTTGACTGAGTGTGGCGAGTGATGTCCATATTGAGGATCCATCGACGTATGGGTGGATGGCAAACGGTGGCGATGCCGAAGTTGAACGTATTGAAGATCCTTTGAACCCAAGCCTCCTGTCGGCTGTGAAACAGTTGACTTACTGGCTGGTGTCGGCGCCGTGCTCACAAGAAGAGATTCTCGTTCGGATCTGTGAACATGTCGTTGCGTGCTGAAGGTCGACTTGATTGGTATGTTGCAAGTAGAAACAGCCTTTTGGCTAACAGCAATTTGGGAGGCGGCCTTCTCAAGACAGTTGCACTATACTAGAATTAGTACACAGACATCCGGCTGCTCTGGAAGGTTTACTTACCCGCTTGTGTTGTTTCCTGTGCTTCTCGCAAGCACCATGCTTTCGGACTTTGATGTAGTTTTCTTTCTGAGCTTGCGATCGAGGCTTTTGCTTCTTTGGTACGTTCGTGGTTGTGTTCATGTTAAGATCAAGCACCAGTTCCATGGCCCCAGCTGCAGACTCAGAGCCCGAGACTGGTGTGCGCGTTACATCGGGCAGAGGTGTGGTAGCTGGGGTTGTACATGTGCCACCCTGATAAACGCTTGCTGCAGAGTCGGACCAGCGAGGGGATGGGAATGTTGTGCTCGAGTCCGACGACAGTTCCAGATCCTGCATTGCTGCTTCCTGGAGGCGTTGCATGTGAAGAGCAATAGACGCCTCCATGCGCTTTTCTTTGCTAGACAAGGCGCTTGGATCAGCAGCAGCTTGGAACTCCACCATCTGTCGGACAGTGGTGTAGAAGGGGTCGTCAACCCCGCCCATATCCTGTGACCATAGGTCAGTCAGCTCCGACCCCATCAACCCCGGAGTCGGAGATGCGGGCGTCTGGTGGAAGGACCCGGTGGGGTCCAGCATGGATGGCGAGGCGTCCAATGCATGTCCTCCAAAGCCCTCCATAGGCGCATCATAGTTGACCAGATCAGCGAATAGCTCCTGAGTGCAGACCCCAGGACTCGGACCCCAATTGCAGTCATCAAAGTCGGCAAAAGTTAGATCCAAATCCTTAGGGGAGACAGAATCCACCGAAGTGGGATTGCTTCCCACACCTCCGTAGGGGATGTCGAAGGAGTTGTCAAAGTCAAACCACTCTTCACCGGGAGTGGAATGAGCAATGGACTGGAGCAACTGGTCGGCAGCCATGATCGAAGGAGAGACGCGGCTTTGAGGGAGAGTTGATGCCCGGGAATTCAGGATGACCGGAAGGACGGAGGGGAAAAGCCGGCCTTGAGATTATTGCCTGATAAGGAAAGACGGAAGAGAAACCTTTCCGACGGGGTGAGTCACGTCGAACCCGGCACTTGGCAAAGCCTTCAAAGATGAAGAGAGGCAAACAACGAAAGGAGGTAACCCTCAGGAGTGTCCCTGGAGATGATGAAGAATCAGGCAGACAAAAAGGAGTGAAGGAAATCGAAGGATGGACCGGCGGTGGTACAAGGCTTACATACAATGGCCTGAACGAGGCTCATCTGCCCCAGCCTGGCGCTATGCCCCTTTCGAGACCCCGACTGCCTGCCGCTAGACCGCTTTGGGACCCCGACACCCGCGCGCCCCGCGACTGGATCATTGATCTTCCGGCCTGGTTTTGGCACTGCCCCTTTGGGTTTTACAGGGCTAGTATGCTTCACACCGCTTGTGTGGGCTTTCGTCCCTTCATATCATTCGTTCTATTCTCTGGATTTCAAGGTCGAGGGTTGATTGCTTACTATTGTGCAGAAACTAACTAGTGTAACCCCATGGCTATCATCAACCTGCAGACTTTCGTCATCCGGGGTGTCCAAAATGTCCCGCACTGGCTCCGCAAGGACAGTCAGTCACATGACAACGTTATTTATAGTGATAAGCCTGGAATAGATGACATGATCACATATGGCAGTTCCTAGTTAATATAAGATTCCATTCTTCTAACTAAAATGTCAAATAAATGGAGTAGAGCACTGCTGCCAGGCCACTACAAGTATGCTGCTCGGTCTTCTTGTTTTACATAAACCCACTATATTCCCCTTTCGACGAAAAGAAATCGACAAATGATTAGATAATACTAGTCTATTGTCACTAACATAGTTGGCAGTAATTACTGCCGAAAGAGATCCTGCAAGTAGGCCAAAGACATGTTTCACTGGCCGCCTGGAGCATAATGGGGGACAAGAATGGCTCAACAATTACTACTAATGGCCATTCCGAAACTTGAACTTTATGACCTCCATATCTCTATGCGATTTGACTGACAATAAGATAACAATCAAACTTAAACATGGAGCAATCCTGCCAGCAGAAGCCGCTTGAGTGTCCAAAAATAGTAATTAGTGAAGAATCCAGGATATCTCACACTCTTCATTATCTACCAATGTCCATGGAAATACCAACAAAGAACGACGCATGGATTTGACCCCCAACACAAAGAGCCCCCCAATCTCATTATCCCAAGAATCTTGTCTACCAGATAGGATATTTATAGGTTTCAGACCCTAATGCCATAAGTCCATGGTTTATCTCCAGTCTTTGAGTCTTTCGCATGAAACAATCCGTGATAAGACTATACAAGGAACAATAGCCCCCGACACAGCATGCTACCAAACCATGGAACCAAGTGTTCTTTCCCCAAGATGATCTATATATGGGCAAGACAAAGCATTCCTGAACAGATGCTTTGTGCCGAAGGTTTACAAACGCTCATTATGTTACACCGCAGGTTACCGGAAGAGTTCCGTTTTCATGATGGCAGCTTCCGAATACTTAAACCCCCGAAAGTTAGCCAACCCAATACAGGCGGAGCCTGTAGCTACCCAAATCAGACAGAGAAGCTCCAAAGACGTCACGATTCATCCCATCAATTAATTCTAATCATACCGCAACTACCTGATCTATGGCTGCGAAAAGAGACTCGGACAACGGTCCGAAAGATACCTCCAGTTCACGACCACGTTCTCTGAGAAAACGGAGGCAAGACGAAGGAGGAGACGCAGGCAGTTCTCCTAGCAAGCGGCCCAAAAGGAGTTCCCCCGCTCCATCCCGAACATTGCGATCCCAGACACAGCGGGGACAAGAAGGAGAAGACGAAGACATCTCCCCTAGCAAACAGTCTGAGACAATCCCCCCTACTCCATCAGAAACATCGGAGTCCCAGGAGGAGCAGAGGCGGGAAGGAGGAGAGGCAGACAGCTCTCCTAGTAAGCGGGGCAATACGACTCCCCACACTCCAGCCCAACCACTACAATCCCAGGAGGAGCAGGGGCAGGAAGGAGGAGAAGACACAGAAGGCTCTCCCAGAAAACAACCCAACACGAGCTCCCCAGCCCCAGTGCAACTATCAGGGTCCCAGACAAAGCGGCGACAAGAAGGAGAAGATGCAGACAATACTCCTAACAAACGACTTAAAATGGGCACCTTCCACCCCCGCCCATTATCCCCAGCATCTATACAGAATAGAGACCAGATCCTGCATGCGTTCATGTACGACTTATATGAGGTCAACGAAATACACAGCGAAAGTGAAAACAACAGGGTGGCAAGATTGGACTACGAGGTGCGGTGTATTTACGCCTCACGGGCCTTAGAGAAGGCCCTTACTTGCACAATATGGTCATTTAATGAGGCCAATATGGATTGCGAGGAGCGAGAAGCGAGCCGACTACGAATTTTCGCCGATAACTTCGGCTGGCCCATGTTTGCGATATGTGTACAAGCGGAAGCCTTTCGAAGGCTATGTAAGGAAGAAAGCACATTAATGTGGAAAGCCGTATATGGAAAATTTCAGGAACACCATTACAATATCTGGATCCAGGCTTCTACGCGTGGTTTTGAATGGCGCAACTTGTTGGCGCCATATGCGGGGGATGGTGCTCCACCTAAGCTAAACCATGCATTGGCTTCCAGGGTTGAAGCGGATGATCTCAGACATACGCATCATCATGAAATAGTAATCATTGAAGAGGAGAGACAAGTTCGCTCACCGAAATTCCAAAATCGCTTACAGAAACATATCGATGCTAGCATATTTCACCCTAGGGATTGGCAAACGGCGAAGGATCCAGAGCATCGGGGGCTGAAAAAGGATCCAACGCTGCGACAGGGCCTTAATTATGGTCTTTGCGATCTCTGCGCCGAAGGGAAAATCTGCGAATGTCAAATCAATAAGGCCCCCTTTGAGTTCGTGCAGTTGGTGGAAACATCCAAGGGTGTCGGGGTGCGTGCTCTTGCGCGATTTGAGAAAGGAGATATTCTGGGTGAATATGTTGGCGAGCTCCATCCACCTTGCTATAAAGGTGACCTTATATATGGGCTTACCATGCAGGGTAAAGTCGACGTAGACAAGGAAATTGCTCTAATTTGCCCGATGGAATATGGGAATTTCACTCGGTTTATCAACCACTCTTGCAGGCCTAATACAACTTTTGAACGGCGGACAATTGGAAACCGGGCAACGATGACCGTGGAGGTCGTGCGGGATATTCAACCTTTCGAGGAACTCACGATTAACTATGGCCGGGAATATTGGAAAGGTCGGACATGTATTTGTGGAGAGGAAGGGTGTTACACTCAGCAAGAGAAGAGGAAGAAACGGCAACGAGAACGGGAGATGGAACGGCGAAAGCAAAGGGATATGCAACTTCAGCTTGAAGCATCTAAGAATGTTGCCGAGGAAGTGGACAAAGATAAAACAGAATGTTTAGCCAAGGAACACGAGGAGAAAGAGGCAGAAGAAGAAGAAACCCAAGAAAAAGAAACCGACGAAGAAGAAACCGACGAAGAAGAAACCGACGAAGAAGAAACCGACGAAGAAGAAACCGACGAAGAAGCGACCGACGAAGAAGCGATCGACAAAGAAGAGACCGAAGAAGAAGAGGTCGAAGAAAGGCCACCATACAAGAAACCAGAAGAAGCAAAAGCACCAAGGAAAGGGTCAAAAGGAGGATCATTAATAGAAGCAGAAGAAGGGCCATCAAAGAGAAAGTCCAAAGACAAGATAGGATCATCGAAAGATGGGACAGGAAAAGATAGGGAAGAGGAAGAGAGAGCAGCACAGAGAATACATCAAGATTGGGTTCCTATTCTCGAAGACTACAATGATTACCCTAATTGCAATGACGAAGAAGAAGGGGGAGGAAAAGGGAAAGGAAAGGAGAAAGGAAAAGAGAAAGAGAAAGGAGAAGAAGATTTGGAAGGAGAAGGAACCGAAGAACAAGAAACATTGGAAGAATCGGAAGAATCGTCATCAAGAGAGTCAGAAGGATCCTCTTACGTGTTCGTCGACGATGAGGAGGACGAAGAAGAAAAAGAAGAAGAAGAGGAAAGAGAGGGAAGAGGACACTAAACATTATGTTTCTCCTCATGCAATGAATTATATTAAAGGGACTATATACACTTCAGATGTTGTCTATAACCAGTGCATTTAGAGCTTAACTACCCTCTATTCCAAATTAAGTTTAGCCTAATTCCAAATAAACTCATCACCACCACCAACGCCAGTGTCTACTTACGTCAACCAACAATCTCATCAACTCCCAAGAAACCTTCCTAAATTATTCTATACCTCCAACCCAAACCCAAACCCAAACACAATCTCAACCAAACCAAAATGCCCCCAACTCCTGGCGGATCCAACCTCCAAACCCTCCTCGCCTCCCTCTCACCAATTCTCCACCCGGACATCTTCGTCTTCCTCACCATCCCCCACACCAGCATCTCGCAAGCAAGTCCGGATCTCCACACCCTGCAACCCCAACTCCTCTTCCAGGAAGCAGAAGGCACCACGTACATTGTGACCCGTGAGCGTGCCGAAGCACACGGCTTCACCAACTATGTTTTCCCCTGCCGCATGATTACCATCAGCGTGCACTCTAGTCTTGAGGCGGTGGGGCTGATGGCTGCTATTAGCGCCAAGCTTAAGGAGGCTGGGGTGAGTGCGAATGTGGTTAGTGGGTTCTATCATGATCATGTTTTTGTTCCTGAGGGGAAGGAGGAGGTTGCGATGAGGGCGTTGGCGGAGTTGTCGGGGAAATAAAGTGAAGGAAATTGTTTTGTGTGAGGGAGCATTTTTCTTGTAGTATTGATTGGGGGTTATTGGGTAGATATTAATATTGAAGGAGCTCTATAGCATGTCATAAGAGGACGGTGTTGAGATGTACTATTGATATCATTAACTGCGCTGTTTTCATGACCAGTGCTACTAGCAGCTTCAATTGCTATGATATACACAACTGCTAGAATGTTTGATATAACAATACGGGTTGAAAAAGTTATCAGCTTTAGAATATTGTCGCTAACCCATACTAATCCAAATATTATTTATAACCTTACCATGTACTCCAAGAACCATATTTCATTACCCATTTGATCATGAACGTAGCGTCCAGCGCCAGTACCTCAACAAATACAGCATATCTACTTGGATTTCATCGTTTCCATCGTAATTTGGCCGCATGCACCACCCAGCCAATACCGCGTGATCAATTGCGCAGAATCGGTATTCTTGCGCGAAAAGTCATACAGCTTGGAAGCACGAATGTTGAGCATCTCTCCGTCAAAATCGGCTTCCAGGACGCGGGCATGGCGAGGGCCCATGAGAGATATGACCAGCATCTGTCGATATAAATAAGTGTACTGGAGTGTAAGTACTACTTGAGTTCATACTGGGGCAATGATATGCGTTCGTAGAGACCTGGTTCTCGGACGAGCAGCCATGATATCAGTGATAGTCATGATCTCTCCGCGGAGCAGTCGATCATCCCCAATCGCTTCACTTTCTAACATAGCCTTGAAGTGTGGGTAATTTCCTCCCGGATACTCCGTCACTGTTACGGCATACCATTTGAAATCGACAGACTCCAGCAGTTGGCCGAATTTATAGTCTCCAATACTGTTATGAACGGTCAGACAGACT